GTGCGTCGTTGCCATGAACCCGAGGCCCATTTGACTACACCTGGTAGTTGCGTGCTGCTTTTCTACTGACATCTATATCGGCTTTGCGCTACTTCTATTCCGTCGCCCGTTTGCTCAACAAGTCACTGATCTTCAGAGGTAAAAAAGCTGCTAAGCTATACTAGAACTAAGTTCTTCGACTTTGTTGTAGGTGACAAATGACACAGGTTCGCTTCGAAAAGCAGAAGGCGGTATTCGCTTCTCGATGTTTAAGTCAGACCTAGCCAGCTTCTTCTTCCAGTCATTTTTTCCCTTCGCTGTCTAATGTATACGTATATGAGAAGCGTCACATCTATTACACATGCGTAGCCGATTCGCTCGCTGCCTATCACAAGATGTTGCCTGTCGTTACGATGTTATCGCAATATCGACCTATCGTTGTTGGTTGGCCTATTGGGTCTGTCTGTGCTTACGCAGTCAGGCCCTGCGACGCTGACCAATAGTAACGGTTCACGACCGGCTTCCATTACGACCCGAAAATAAACCCCATCTTCCCACATTTGTTACACTGTATCGGCTTTGTTTGTAAATTCTCACCATTTCGTTGTTTTGATTGTGCTGGGAGTGGTACTAATGCTGTGGGGGAAGTTCTTCATCTGTGCTTAGATATTTGAAAATGATTTTAGCCGTCTTCTGCCATCTAAATGCGAACGATTGATCATCGAAAGCTCCGCACGCCCCTCAGCTCAAGATAGGGAGGGCGCAGTTGTTAGTCGATATGATGCAGCTTTAAGCCTTACAAATGCTTGCCGTATTTAAATAGCAACTATGAAGCGTCCCTGTCCACGATTTATGCCACAGGGTTTGGTATGCCTCTCTGTTGGTGTTACAACGTCCCATAGATACATAGTCCCCACGGTCGACCTAACAGCTTCCTTATCGTGTTTAAAGGCGCTATCGTTCAGCCGACCAATGTTGTGGCACGTTCTGATTTTTGGTTCGTAAATAAATTGTTCTTATCTAAATATATTAATTATAGTGTTTAATTATAGCGTTTCATTATGACTAGTATATTTATTATCTTCGCTCGTAGCGTAATCAATGACTTCGGTTGTTGGTACATATATGGCGCATTTTGTCAATTTGTTTTATGGTTCTGCTAATTAATAATTAAACACAGTAAATAAATGCGTTTTAAGCGCTTATATTGCGTCGTAACGTTTGTGTTGAAAACGTAATTCGTTCAATAGAATCCATTCTCATCATATTCAGGTAGGAAGTACGCGGCGCGAGCTGATAACGTTCAAGGTGCGATCGAGGGCCAACACAGCACGTTTACGAGCACCGAGTGCTTTGATCGGCCTTGTGACAGCTCTCGCTACCGAGATGTGGAGCTTCGCAGGACAAATATTGGTCCAACTAGATTTGGAATAAAGGAGGTAGATCCATCGTCGAGCTTCGAGCGGAGGGGCAAAAAGCTTTTATAAATTAGCGTTATGAAGACGGCGTTTAACAATATTACTGATCTCTTCTGAAAAGAGAAATCATAAACGTATCGACAAGACGTCTCTTTTAGCACAGCCTCTAAAATGCCTATCGCTACTAGCGCGAGAGGGGAAGATGTACATCAACGCACTCACGTAATTGAAAACAATTGACATTTTTGCTGCCTAAGAACTCAGTAAGTACGAACTTCTTGATAGGTGATAATATTATCTACATCGATAAACAAGATAGGCAGAATGAGGTGTGCACTGAGTCGGATGGTGTCTATTTAAGTGCGTCTAAACAGGGTTAACTGATATACAGTCGATGCGAAACATTACAGTTTATGTAATTTATATGATTTTTAACAACAATTGCAAGAAATGCCAAAGTGCAGACGACAGCCCCTGCTAAATATTATAACGATAAATGTAACCACAAACAGGAAACAAAAAAGCTAGACTCAGTACCGAACGGCAATGTTTGAAACATGTTTATACTAGAATATCAATTGATTCTGTTCCCCAAATTAAAAATTCCACCATAAACAACTCATCGGCAATATACAGTGCGCCTCCATATTTAGATGCCATGCGGTCAGTGAATTGGCACTTGCTATAGCTCGGGAAAAAAAAGAGGTTATATTAAATAGAATATTTCCCTATACTCGTTCCGCGTCAGGAACGTAGACATCAGATAGGCTCTTAAATACAAATAGCATGCAACGTACTGGCACACTGTGTGTGTTACTGTGGAATCAAATCGAGTTGAACAAGTCTGAACATTACGTTACGTGGTTAATAACGTTTAGAGTTCGATCGATTTAAATTAACTACTTATATGTTTCAATGAGAATATTCTCTAGGTCTGTGTAACTTTCGTTCGTAATAGGCTCTAGCTCTGGACCGTCGGTGCGTAGCAGCGACTGACGCGTTGCCTTATTGTCCATTGCGAATGTCCTAGTCTCAGCTTTGTGGGCAGTTTTCTAGGGGATCGATTGCGAGGCGCACTTGCAATCGAGGTGCACGATGATCTGAATTCATGCCTATGTATACTGTGTGCTAATTTTTTTAGCTATACTTAATAAATAGTGCAACATAAGCGCTGTTTGCTAAGGACCATCGAACAGTCGTTCACACGAGGCACTATTACAATCGCTGGACAAAATCACGTAGATTCTAGAAAGCGATCATTTTATGCCGGTTTATGGGCGTTTTCCTCGTCAAGGCTATTCAGACGTTCTCTGATAACAGTTTTACGTTGCAGAGCCGTAAAGACAAACGCTGGGTGAACTCGTGCACTATGTCACTCCCGCTTAGAACTAAATAGCCGCACAATTTTATAGATTGTGAATTTTATCAACGTTAGCTTAGTGTTTCCTCAAGATAAAATCGTGTCTTATTCTTGTAAACGAGATAATTAGCTATATGTTACATGCAACAAAAAGTTACTAGCTTTGACATTATTAACTTAATCAATTTACTGTTATAGATAACTGTTTCTAACTTCGTGCATGAATGCGGCCATAGGAATTCTTTTTTGAACTACAAGTGACGAAAACAGAACAGGTAGTAAAAATGTATTCAAAGAGATCCACCTAGAAACTTCCGCGAGCGCAACTTGAACCACCTTATAGCTTTGGAATAGACGAACGTGCCTCTTCTCTCACGCTTGCGGTTACACATTATGTGAACGGTTTATAAAGAAATGCAGTTTGGTTAAAAGCTAAAATATATAACCACCAATTATCTCTTCCATTAGGGTAGCTCTCATCCGTTTAACGCCAAGTTCAAACCGCAGTAGAGTCTTGAATTGCCCTAGCCCCATAAACTAATAACAATATTAAGGCTAGTTTCGTTCTAAGGTTGTGGCTGGGGCGGAGGGTTCAACGTAAGAGCCGTAACGTGAAAAGCGGCTCGTAGGTGATGGGCACCTGCAGTTCCAGGTTCTATTTTACTGAACTGAGACGAATGGAACGACCGGCCAGGCAGCGTAAGAGGCATCTGGAGATCGTGAACAGAAGACGCTCATCGAACGCTTCAGTTCCCCAAGGGCTTCGGCAGCGCGAGATTAGTTAGTTGAGGCGAAACGTCGATAAAAGTACTCAGACACTAAAGGAGCAATGAAGCTGACGTTCACGCTGGCGTCACAGTGGCGTCGGTTAGGACTGACACGTAAACACTTCCAGCTACCCAATACCAGAGAATCTCTCGACTTATTTCGAACAGCTTTTTCTTCGTCGAAATAGAAACTGCTAGTGAGCCAGGACTATTCAAGCAAATCTTGGTTTGTCTTTTCGTATTAATCCTACGAGTAAGATGGAAGAATCGTTCAACATTGAAAATTACAGTTCGTCGTCTCGAAATGCATTTCATAGATTGTAGTATCGTTAACATCTCATTTATTTTTTCCATTACTATAAACGGTAGTGTACTAACAGCAGTACATTTTTTTTTCTTGTATTTGCGATAAACTATTTGGTAAGTTAAGTGTTTAGAAGTTGAACAAGCTTCAGGGAAAGCTTTGCTTTTCGTAATTAGGGATCTCTGAAATAAGTTTACGCGGTCAGGAATGCCGCGCCGCGAAAGACAGTAACTCCCCACTATAACGCCAACAAGATGCCCTAACCAGACCGTGCGTATGCAACGTATTTTTATCCGTTGCACCTTCTTCCCCTTTGCTGGCACTTGCCGGAAGAATCTGGGTAGATTACTACTTTGAAGCATATTCAAGTTCCATACAGGTGCTATCTGCCTTGCCCGGGATAAAGCAGGCTCGAAAGGAAGGTATTGCAAATGACGTTGGAAAATATTTCGGCCTGAGTCCGCTTTAAGCTAGAACAGTTCGTCTGAATTCAGGCCGACATAGCCCGAGCTGTAGGTGCATTGTGCGCGAATAGAAGAATGTGCCTTCCAGCCTTTCCCGTGAATGTGTCGTCGGAAGTATGCGTGTCTTTTTCCTGAGATAAAGACTAAACATGGAAGGAACTTATTGTTATGGCACTAGGGAACGATCGATTTGATGGAGTTTGTACTAATTACTACTACGCGTTAACTTGACATACCCCGATTGTAGCGCCGTTCGAAAAATTATCTAGCCAAATATATATGACGACAAGCCTAAGGAACGTAGTAAAATGAAAGACAGCAATGTGATGTACGCTCGGTTAACTGTGAACGAATATACTTGAATGTCTCATTAAACTAACATGACATGAAAAGCGGCTACGTTCTGACTATTCTTCGAAAAATAATGGAAAAAGAACAAATTTAATAAGTAAAGACCGTTCACTACCGAAAAACTCTAGCTTATTTCAGGTACATTTTTGCTTATGTAGCACATTTTGTCGTTTTTTTTTTTTTTATTTATATATACACAGTCGACAAGTGATGGCGATTCAAGAGCAATCTCAGCGATTGCCTTTGGTCAAATGTTTGTCTATACATAGGACTTTGTCTATCAATAGCAGGCTCATGTCATAACGAGACATATTTCCCGATACTAAGAAGTAGCGTCTCACTGTTTGTAATCTTATTATCTTAACAATCATCGTATGTAATCTTAGCAGAATATCTTAGCGTCTCACGCTATGCTTTCTGCTGCTGTTTACCATAGGACTGAGATAGTTAGACCGAAGAAATAACGCAGTAGACAACGATTGCTCTATGTAGAAAAGCGCACTGCGTCAGTCTTTTTTGGTAGGTGGCGGTAGGCGTGTCATGTTGTGCGTGAGTCAAATAGTCGAGCGGGGCAAACAACGCGATACAGATAGATCCTGGTTCGTTCATCTCTAGTGGAATGACTGATATAGGAAATCCTGAATTTACGTTGGAATTTAATAGTTCATTCCGTGAGTCGGAAATCAAGGCTTTGGCAAAAATCGTAAACACTTTCACAGCTAGCACCTTCGCTGAGATCAGTGAAAAGGTACTGAGTCATCTGTCTAAGGTGTCTGGCAATGTTCAGTGGATTGTGTTCTGCGGAAACAACTTCAATTCATGGATAGTAAATCTAAATTACGACATCGCGCTGTCAGCGAAGTTTCGAGGATGTTCTCTACTGATCATTAAAGGCCCGTATCTAAGTGGGAAGGTCTTGTAAGTATAAAGTAAAAAGGAAAACTAAATAGATTTTTTTTTTGTAGCTGTATACTGTCATATGAGTGCGTATAGGGCGGTTCAGGGCATACCGGAAAATGTTCAGATTTGAAATTACCCTCACATTGATCTGTATTACCAGTCTATGTACCAATCGATCGACAATAAGATGACGATTTCGCCTTGGTCCGACTAGTAGCAACAGATCTACTTGGAAACCGATTGAAAAAATGGTTGTGGAAAATTTTCGCGCAGAACTTTCATATATCAAATAAAAGCTCCGTCGTCACTATGGGCAACGTTTTTCAGTTTCCTACCCGCTATGCCCCTTTAGATGACCTAAATAATCATTGGTGTGTTGGGAAACTACGAGTCAAAACGAAGAAATTAAAGCTTAATAAAAATATATATATTTTTACATGATTTTGATATTATTCGGTAATTTTCTCAGAGGTAAATGCGAAAGCATCGCTTAAACACACCTAGTTGGACCCAGTTGATGACAAAATCATGAACTCTACGAGCAGTTAGATTAATTTATTACATGAGTACTTTTTATGGTAAAAATATGGTATTTTCGCTAAACTTTCGTTAAATTTTCGTGAAGACCGACAGGTGTTTTACCCGAATTTTGTTACCCCCTTTTATTGCCTATATAAATTACGCAAAGCTGAAAATGATCTTAGCCACTTCGCGTGCTATATCTCCAATACCATACGATTCAGGCTGTATCTCTATATGCCGCCTATTATCTCCCAGCAAAAATAGGCAAAGCAAGTTACGGGTAATGCTTACACGATTTGGCCTATTTATATTGGAATGTACCTTCACGCAATCTATTAAACGAATTCATGAATATAAGTAGAGGGCATTGTGACACTTCGCGTTCGACGCTAACAATCGGATATTGGTGACACACGACTAGACAATGACATATTAACGATTTCTTTTCATTGACTTCATATATGTTGTCCCATATGAAAGCCTCACAGGGACCGCAGTTTGGTGGAACTGATGGGCCACTAAAAGATTGCAATACAAAATAATAAGTAGGCGTAACGACTAGATTATGAGTGATCCGTATCTAGTAAGGCCGTGTGTCTATACTGAATCTTAGACCTCCAGTTGAAGATGCCGTAAGTCGAACACTGATCACGAAGCGTATCGTCAACCCATTGACAAAAGTTCATCTGGCTGGCATGCGTCGGGTTGTCGCTGATTATTTTGCACCCAGGTTTTCTCGTGTGGCTGACACCGTAACGAAATACTTCAAAGAGACGTTTGGGCCCTACCTGCGTTTTATTGTCATCGCGGGACGAAATCTGGTGGGTTCGTAACTTCCTCTTTGGTGAACACTATAATTTCGTTAAATTTCTACTAGGTAATGCATTAGCGTTACTGCAAAGCTCTTGTCTAAATATGTCCACGTTTAGAATAAGGCTTCCATGGACGTTTCGGTAAAAATCGATTTTAAGTAGTAAGTGCAACTATACTTTAAACATTTTTTTTTACTTTTTATGGATGAGATTAACTCTGTGCAACCTGTGCCTCAGGTGTGTGATATATGCGTGCGTTAGGTGCTACAAGAACCCTTAAGAGTACAACAATGTTTAAGTAGTATGATTATTATAAACCATCTATCTCGTTAAGGATCTAAGCTCTCGTACGATGAGGTATCTATTAAAACAAATCTTACATGGTATCATTATCATCATGGAATAAAGCCTACAGAGGTTTTAGCATAACTGTGTAGCCCATAAGCCCAGGATTTTTCTGTTCCTGACCGTATATATCGCAGATTAGCCCGTCTATTGCGAAGTCTGCCCATTCCGAAATTCTCAAAATCTATCTCTGGCTAAAATTAGGCTATTATATATTATTTCATTTGGGTGCAGCTTCCACTTTTTATAAAATAGAGCTTGAGCAACAATGCAATTACAAATAACAGTGTATAAAACTGGATAGGGTGATGCACCCTAGCGTGGATCTCAATTTGCCTGCCCTCTTTTTTGTTTTAATTGGCTCGTGTTTTGAATTCACGTTCGCCAGCGGACTTCAACCGTTCGGGTATTGCCTCATAACTAGCCGAGCCATTGCTTATAATTAATATTATTTATTATTATATTTCATAATATTTTAATTAATTAATTAGTTAATAATATATAATATAATTTAATATTTATTATTACTGTGTCGCACTGGGTCACATTCTGTTCTTTTCGAAATTATGTTCTGTTATTTCGCTTGCAAAGAAAGTGGCCATGACCGGTGATGTTCAATCGACACGAGCTCTGATTTACTGCTGTGAGGTTGACGACGTGGGCCTTCTGGTTATCCGGGTCGCAGAAACTGTAACTGAAGAAAACTGAGCGTGCGGACACGATACAAGGAGCATGAGTTTTCTATTATATTAAACATATTTAGCTTTATTAGCGTAGTGCATTCCGGATCAGGTTATTTAGGATCAGGGACAGTTGTTGAAAAACGAATTACACTATAGATCTTGTAATAAATCGTTAAGTTGTGGTCAGTTCTCTTGAAAAATCCCACAAACTAACAAAACTATAATGCTGAAGAGTATTCTGTTAAAATTTCAACATCTTTCATATCAGATGTTCCCCTGCAAATATGTTTTAATGGAAACTTTAAACTCGCCGTAGAAAATGTATGCCATTCGTAGTTGCAGCTAACTTCTGTGAATACGAAGTTTCTGACTAATCTCACTGACCTGACTCAAATCCTTAAACGGAAATCGGCTGGCTTAGGCAGCCTTAAGATTTCATTAAAATATTCCTTATTTAAATGTGATTATTTTACTTAAATATACGGTCATCAAAGGTTTTTTTTAAATACCTCATATTTATAAAGAGAGTAGAGTACCTCAATAAAATCGTTTTTATCTAGCAAATGAAAAAGCTATAAATTAAACATAAAAATTTATAAATGATATTGGATTATTGGAAATATTAGCTGTTTCACGTCAAACAACTGAAGCTAACATTGTTTGGGCTTACGCGCGATTTTGATTATAATCCCTTCTCATAATCCCTTCCGTGAAAAGCTTCGGTCGTTTCTGGACGAAAAATTGTGAGAAGTAATTTTCACATCTATCCATTGAAATCTTGTAAAGCTGAAGGGGTCTTGCATATACCAAAACAGATAATAGTCGTACGGCACAAATCCGCGCTACACGGCGAATGCATTAAGGTTTTATCGAAATTCTCTCATTTTTTGCCGGTTCAATAGAAATGTCCATTATCATGGCGAAAGGCAATGCCTTTTCCGTTCTTTAGACCTTCTTTAATGATTTGTTGTGGCCTTTTTAGTTGTTAACAGTGGAGCTTCAAATCAATCTATTTGGCCAGGAAGCAGCCATTTATAAACACGTAGCATCACCACCTCTCTTAAAAATTGTTTTTTGATGTATATATCATCCATGGTCAGCTGCTGCACAAATAGATTTCGACGGATTTTACAGACGGATATCAGGAAGACATTCACAAAAATTTACGTAAACTCGTGTAATACCTGAACATCGAGCTTGGACAGCATTTGTGCCTTTACCGTAATAAAATCTAGAACATTACCTTTACTCGTCTTCTAAGGCGCTCTTAAATCTAGAAAGAAAACAGCGCGTCTACTACTGCCAAATCAACTTTCAAGTGCTACCAATGCCAACCCAAAGTGACCTATATTTGCGTGAGTTGTCACCCGAAAACCAGGGAAACACCTTTTTGACAACCCATGTCGGTGATAAGCACATAAAGCATCAATTATATTGAACCCGATTTCTTTAAACGGCCTAACAGCCGAAAAGAGGACTGTTAGCCAATACTATAAATCAGTAGAGCGGTCGAGGAAAGATTCATTCGTAACTATTACACCTATCGAACCATTATTAAGTCATTTCGACGCTGTTCGTCTTTTGCCACTAAGCACGTACATGATAAATTGATATTAAAAATGGTCATAAATACATTCCGTTCGCGGGCCCAGGTTAGTAAAGCCAGTAGATGTTTTACGTGTATTGATAGAATAGAAGCAGTTTCTACTAATTGGAAATATCTAACGGGAACCTCTTATAGTTGTAGAGATAAATCGGCGGAAAAGCGTTTCTGAGGTAGCCTATTCTATTACTAAGGCAACGCGTCAGAAATAGCTGGTCTAGAGCGTATAGGGTTGTTCTGACGTAAACAGATCTAGCAAGCACAGTGCAAAATGGCCAAAGTCATCAAACCGGTTCTAGTTAACACGCTGCCATTGCTTATTATATTGAATAGAGAAGCTCTTTCTCAGATAATACACAATAGCCTCTACAACAACTGATAACAAAAAGCAAAACATTCTAAGCATGATCACGACGTTTCTGAGTCAAAACGATTGCTTAGACTAACTTATTGAAACGGTAATAATATTGGAAAGCCCCTTTTTTTTTTTTTTATTCTATTCCTATAATAAAGTAACTAAGAACGTTGGTGTCTAGTTCTATGAGAGGATTTCTTTTTATTTATTTATTTTTTTTCTTTTTCTACAAGTACATTCAATGTTGCTCGCCGGAGCGAATAAAACACGTTGAAGTAAACGAACTGCGAGTAGTAATTAAATTGATTAAAAATAATCTGAATTTGTACTTCTGATCTGAATGGCCTTGGTTCCACTCATCTGGTCTCTCATCGAACAGTTAGACCGGTCAGAGAAGCGCTTTTCGAGATCCTCCAAATTGAATGTCTCCTTATTTAGCTATTACCAGGATACTCTTACATGAAACAACTGAGAAGGGAATGTAAGGATAGAAAAAAAACTAATAGTACTTTAACGATACTTCAACTAACACCTCAGTTGAAGTAAGCCATCCATTATACAAACGAAGTCCAGCGCTCGCCGTCCTGAGTTTTAAAGTATGTAGCTCTTTCGAGACGTCATTCCAGAAGTAAAATGTTCTTATGTAGCAAACCGCACGCGAAATTCACTGCTCAAAAATCTGCCATGAGCAGATTTTTTTCCGAGAAGGAGAGGGTCATGCTAACGCGGCATATACTAGAAAAAGAGAACAGTCGTTCTTAGCCGAAATAACCTGTTCGGGTTTTTCCCTACAACTGTCTGTTGACCCTTTTAGTTGATGTGTTGTTGCGCCTAACACACAGCAGTTGGGTCTGAGCAGTTGAGCTGGGTTTGCTCACCGACGTTTTCCTTAGCCAACGGGTTATTCAGGCTAACGAAGACATCTATTCATGTGTGCTTGTTATCTGTTCTTGTTCGTAAATTATCTTCTGTTTAAACCGCAAGTATGCAGTGAAGATGCTGAAAAAAAAGACGAGCTATTCCTACAAAAGCTGGCAAAATCGAACGGTTAAAGGCAAGAAACTGCCAATTGCTAAACTATACGTGGTACATAAGCGCGTAAATTATATCGCGACACATTATAAATATCTATAATGTTTTTTTCCAAAACATTAACGATATTCTGAACAGAATATGGGACAATGAATTGAAACCTGTTTGTAAAATTGTATCAGCCATCTGGGAAATGCCATAGCTTATAGCAGTAGTTTCAGCGACAATACAAAATCCAACTTTATTTTGGTTAGTAAAGTTAATAAGTTAAAATCGTTGTTTTGATTGTATAGGAATAGCTGACAACGTTAGTATATTAAACATTACATAAAAAAGTTTCAAACAATTAGAAACCTAATTTTTACGTGTAGTTTCCTCGGCATGACAAATAATAAGGCTAGCATGACAACAATCTATAATAATGTGAAAAATTTGTTTTTTTTTTCTTGCAACTTGCCCTGAGTAGAAGCAAACCTGGTTGACGACGGAGCGGTGACAGAAACTCGTCAGAGTTGCTTCTGTCAGGCCAAATTGTACGTACGTTGACCAATGAACGACGTGATAACCGATATGATTGCGTTCTGTAGGCGATTATCCAGCGAGAACATTGATGCGATGCGTCAGTAACCGTTGAATTTTTGCCTTGGAAAAAGCAGTTGATGCCTTTGTCACAATAATATAATACCTTGTTACGTGGTAACATTAAAACATCATCCACTAAATGTATCTAATTAGCGGTACAGGTTACTCTATCTAATGATTAGCAAAACATTTTGCCAGCAACTTTTAAAACTATTATAAAAAACCGTATTAAATGAAACGAAAAGCAACAGCGTGATGCCATTGGGTCCACGTTTAAATAAACCGGACCCTGATTAAGAGCTTTCCCTAATATTGGTGATCACATCCTTGTAATACATTCATTAGACACTAGCCGTAGTTAACAATGGATGCAATTATCGTGAAAAAACTAAACTTCGACAAGCATGCTTCTGTTTTTTTTATCGGGCTAGTTATCGCCCTTGGTACCACTGGTAAGGAACCAAATAAGTAACTGCTGCAGACACAATAGCTGCGGTTTTATTGAACTACGTTTCTTAATTCTAGGTCTAATGAAACACAGGAAATGGAAGCTTCGTTTGGCAGTGGCTTAGTTGTAATGTTTCGCTCATATGTTCATATGAAAGCCTCGACCACTGAACATCGTCGGGCAACTTACTTTTTTCTTCGTCACGCAGAACTTGATTTCGGCACAGTGGCAAAGTTGAACATTCACTCGCGTCCCGTTCAGGCTGTTTTCACTCGTGATAGCAAGATTACAGAAAACAACTTATTTACTCCATTACTTACTATATATACAGACTTCGAATAGCAGGTCCTGTTGCTAGATGTTCCCCGTACGTTACCTTTCATTAGGTAGACACCTTCGTGGCCTTACCTTTGACACGAATAAATACATCTAGGTCGAAGTGAAATCCACTACTTTTTGGCTATACAAAATTTGGTGGAAAGACGGGAGAAAGTTGCATACAATGACAGGTGTTACCGTTAAGTTATCCTGACTTATTGCCACAAAGTTAAAAAAATATAGTGTTCTCTGTTCAGTAAAAAAACGCAAAAGCATTCTTTCAACGTAACATTTTGAACTTTTTAGCGAAAGATACCGTCAAAAATATGCGCTTAAAATGATTGCAATGGTGTTTTGTTACTATCTTTGTTTGTGTACTAATAAAAGATCTGATGGGTTATTAAATACAGCAAGAATTTTTCGTTAATTACTTTTTATTATGAAGCAATATTTTGTACCCAGCGAAAATCACTCCATGATAATCTATGACATTCAAACAGCGATATCCAATTAGCTAAAGAATACCCTAAGTAGTGATGCTTAAAGTCCATAATTGTACCTTTCTTTGATACTAAAAACAGCGGAGCAGCAAACAAAGCGATGTCAAGCCTTTATCAATTATCGACAAGGGCACAACCCAGATTGATTCTCTTTTTACTATTTTCAAGTCGATTGTGTTTACGACGAACGTTTATCTGCGAAGGTTATACAGAACAGTTACTATATGGTCCGACTTAGTAAGTATAGGTCGTATTTTATTGCAGTCCCAACTTGGGCTATTTGCACGCCCCATAAAACCGAAGATCTCAGATCTTATGGCAGGCTGCTTGTTCAACGACCTATTTGATATAGTTTCTCAGAGGTTAGGTAATCCAAGGCACAATTTCGTCGAGGCACACAGCTCATAGTTAAGCGGGCAAAGGAGGTTAGCTGTGCTTTGCACGGCAACACACACATTGCCTTTGAACGCTGTTGGAAATTCAATTGGACTTTGTACATTGT